GGAACAATTCGAAGAGATAGTTAACATGACTAATAGGTACTTTTCCCCACCTGCCCTTTATCTGGCAGGAGTGTTGTGCATTTGCACAAAAGCCACCTGAATTTCTAATGTGAAAAGCTACAGAATGTTGAGCGTCCTCAGCAAAATCCTTGAAGGTCCTTCACATGTTTGTGCTGTGCTCAGCCAAAATAAACCCAGACACTGACCTTGCGAACAGATGCTTGGTAATGAGGTCATAGAACTGAGTAACATTTTCAGAAAATTGCTTTACAGTGTAATAAATGTTCTGATTAGATTCCTAGTTTTACCTTTTAACATGCTCAGGAGGTTTAACCTGGGAAACCTAGTCAGGGTTATTACCTGTTCTTTAAAGGTCACACCAAGAGTCCAGGAATTTCTAGCCGGAAAAATATTTTTTAATAAACCATACACTGTAAAGATTTTAAATGATTCTCCTACTCTTGGCTTCCTTGCAGTTTCTCCTTAAACTTGACCTATTTCCTATTTCGGTTTCAATTTACTCTTCAGTATGAAGTGTCTGGTTCAGTGATTCTTCCATGACAATACCCTTGTTTGACATCTCCCGAGATGAAACTAATTTCATGTACTCTAAAATAAGCACGACATAACTTGAGGCAAATAGTGTTACCATTATGCTGTGTGTTCAGCATATTTAATGACTATTTCTAATGAATAATATAGAGTCCAGGATAGAGGTTCCAACGTTCCTGTACGCAGGATGACAATGCTGAAGGTCACCTCCTACACTGGGATCTTGCTGATAAAAGAATCGTGACATCACAAAGAAGTGAGCATAGCTTCCAAACGGAATTTCATTTATGGGATACATGTTTCTATTTGTTTTGTGGTAGGTAACATAGAGGATTTTTATATTCCCCACTTCTTGCCTTTGGGATGGAGAGATGATTTTAAGGTATTAAACATATAAAAACAGTGAACCACAAAGAAAAAAGCCAGAGAACTAGATATAGGATTATTTTCATAACATTTTTACAGAAAAGTATTTCTATGGGATAACTTTTTTTTTTTTTTTTTAGTAATGGAGGGCAATGAATGAGCTCTTAACAACCAAAAAAGAAAATAAATATTTTAGGTATTGAACACAGATATCGGCTGCAGCCAGATAGCAACCTGGGCGGGTAGGGTGTATTTATCTTGTTCCCTGCAGCATCCCCAGCACTTACCACATAGTAGGTATTAAATACACAACACTGAATAAATAATATGTTGGATACTAAAAACGAATGGAAGCAAAGTACAAAGTAAATGAGGAGGGAATGAAGATAATATAGGGGCAACTGCTGTTCCCCATGGAGAAGGTTTGGAAGTCTAAAACACAAGTCAAAATAAAATAAGTACTTTATAACAGTCACAATATGTAGAAAGGCATCTTGAAGGATAGTAGGATTAGAAACCATATTTATTTATTTTATTTTATTTATTTTTTGAGACAGAGTCTCACTTTGTTGCCTTTATTAGAGTGCTATGAAGTCACAGCTCACAGCAACCTCTGGGCTTAGGTGATTCTCTTGCCTCAGCCTCCCGAGTAGCTGGGACTACAGGTGCCCGCCCAGATACCCAGCTATTTTTTGGTTGCAGGTTAGCCGGGGCCGGGTTTGAACCCGCCACCCTGGGTATATGGAGCCGGCGCCCGACTCACTGAGCCACAGCGCCGCCCTCGAAACCCTATTTAAAAGTTAAAAGTGAGGAGGAAAAACGGGATTTGTATGCTTCTTTGTTTTCTGAAACAATGTTCTAAAATGTTTTCTGAATTACTTTTCAAGTTGAAATCTAATTTTCAGTTTTTCTCTATAGAATCATGCTAAAGTATACTTTCTTTTATTTCCTTTTGAGATAGTCTCACTTTAGCCCTCAGTTGAGTGCTCCCACGTCACAGCTCACAGCAACCTCAAACTCTTCCCTTGCCTCAGCCTCCTGAGTAGCTGGGACTACAGGCACCTGACACAATGCCTGGCTATTTTTAGAGACAAGGTCTTGGTCTGGCTCAGGCTGGTCTTGAACCTGTGAGCTCAGGCAATTCACCTGCCTCGGCCTCCCAGAGTGCTAGGATTACAGGTGTAAGCTACTGCTCCCAGCCCTAAAGCATACTTTTAAATATGAAAGATTCAGAAAGCATCTTCACTGGAGTATAAATACATGCACTTGGTTTGTCGAGTCAAATGATGCTAAATCTTAAACAAAAAGCAACAAGCCCCGTGTCCATTGCCTTCTTCTCTTCTACTTTCTTGTGACAGATAAGGATTTTAGTTCTTTTCCACTACCTTTTGTTCTTCTGTCCTCCCAGTACAGCAAAATCACAGTTCTTAAATCTTTAATCCGTGTTCTCGTTATTATAATGTAAATGCTGTTCCCTGCTGAGCTAAGCCAAGCTCCACTGTTATATTTCCTTTCTTATATAATTTTTATTTTTCCCCAGGGGTGAAGAACACACCTTTTCTTCTTTTTCATTTGCTTAGTTGTCCTACTCTCTCCCTTGTTACATTGTCTCCAATACATTTTTCATGGTGCTCAGGGCAGATGTGCAGCTGCATCTAGTCAGCAGTCCACAGCCAGCATGTCCTCTGATTGGTTCCCGCATGTGCACTGACTGGCTGAAGGAAGCATCCCGGTGCACCATTAAACCTATTAGATCCTCCTGGCTCTGTGTCTTTCTCAGAGACATCCTGGCACCTTTCATCCATCACATCCATTATTGGCTGGCTGCACTCTGGACTTGCCATATAGTGTTCTTTCTGGGAAATTCTGTCATCTCCCTTCCATATAGGTTAATGTATTTCCCAGAACCCATATGCTTCCTTTTTTTCATGTGTAGATTATTCCCCAGCTCTGTCAGATCATACCTGCCCTGACAAAGATAGGTAAACTTTGTGAATTTACATGCCTAGAATTTCTTTTTTTTTTTTTTTTAGACAGAGCCTCAAGCTATCCCCCTGGGTAGAGTGCCATGGCATCACGCTCACAGCAACCTCCAACTCCTGGGCTCAAGCGAATCTCCTGCCTCAGCCTCCCAAGTAGCTGGGACTACAGGCACCCGCCACAATGCCTGGCCATTTTTTGGTTGCAGCCATCATTGTTGTTTGGCGGGCCTGGGCTGGGGATTCAAACCCACCACCTTAGGTATATGTGGCTGGCGCCTTAGCCGCTTGAGCCACAGGCGCCGAGCAACATGCCTAGAATTTTAAAACAAATTTTATTCTAAGCTCATACATAACTGAGAGCTTGACTGTTATAGAACTTGAAGGTAAAAATCATGATGGCATCAGGGGTGGTATTATTCTGTTTTCAAGCCTCCTCTGTCAGTATTTAGAAACTTAATGTCATTCTAATTCTAGATCATTTGAATGTGACATGCTTTTTATCTTTGGAATCTTTAAGAATTCTCTCTTTATCCTTCGTTTGGGATATCCAATGATTTTGATTAAACTTGGTCATTCTTCTCATTCATTGTGCTGGGTACTTGGTGGAGATTTATGTCTTCAGGTCTTGTAAAGATTATTATTTCTGTGATAATTATATCTGTTCTCTCTTTTTAGAATTACTAATTGCTGAATTTGGGGATCTCCTACATGACCTTTTGTAACAGACACAGAAATTCAGGAATGTATTGAGCAAGAAATAAAACTCAAAGCAAATGAATTTCTAAAATGGAAAATAGTTCCTTAAAGTGAAAATTTTGCTATTTAAGTATTCATTTATAAACCTTTCCCAGTAACAGAAAAAGCCTTTAAAAGACAAATAACAGGAAAACTATATACTACATTAAAGTGCTGATAATTAGTAACCTTTAATAATATAGTTATTTGCCTTACATGAACAGTGCTGCATAGTTAATAAATTTCCATTTAATTATCATAATTAATTGGTAAATTAATTAAATTCAAATTGAATTTAATTAATTCAATAATTTGAATTTTTCTTTATTATATTAATTTTGATACTTGAACCCTCACTTTATAACCCTTTCCCATTACAATAAAATATAAATATAAAATCACTACTTAATTAGAATATTAATGTCTATGGTATTGTTTAGTTCAAGATTAACTAAAAAAGCAGTATACTATTTATTCTCAACTTAATAACAAAAAGCTAAAGCTTTCACTTGAATTCAAACAGACATGATATTAACGTTCAGTAGGCTCCCACTGTATGCAAGCAAGCACTCTTTCTTTATAATTCTCTCACAGGTACTTATTTTGCCCCTGTTTTATATATGAAGCAACTAAGGAACATAGCAATTAAGTAAATTGCCTGTGGTTACCTAAGAAGTTACACTTAGCACTTTCTGGACCTGAAGCCTGTTTTCTTTCCACATATTACACACCAAAATCAATTATACTATGGTATTTAAAATAAACCACACCAATTATAACATGCAAAGAAATCCAAAAGCCACAATGCAAATTTTCACAGAGCACATTCTCTTGATAACTTGGCTTGCAAACACAACAAATGACATTAGTACTGACTCAGTAAAATCTTAAGTTTTAAAAACAGAATTTTTTCATGCCTTATTTTGAATAATCTGTTACCTCAAATTGATTGAAGTAGAGGTGCAGAAGTAAGCCAGAAATCCTACCAAGATATTGCCATGGAGAGATAGAGGGAATACCAAAGACAGAGAAAGAAAGAATGGTCATCTTTACGTAAGGTAATTTATTCAAACTATTTAAGGCTATGAAGTGGGAAAATTATAACAAAATAACATTTTCGGGTATGTTTTACTTATTAACAACCTCTCATTTTGTGATCAAATAAGACATTCAAAATATTAAGTAGTTATACAAAATGTAAGGTGAAGATACCTCTAAAATTATCTAGCTGTCCTTTCTAGCATTTGAAAAATAAACATCAAGCAAAATTCTGCCACAACTGTATAATGTTTTGAATTAAAAAGCCATCTTATTTTAGTTGTTGACTTAGTATGACATTGGATAAAAAAGGTAAATGAAAAATACCTTCACTGCTGCGGTGACAGCAGCAGTAGCTGCCAGGTTTAAACCTTGCCGTCCAAAGTTCACCATGGTCTCGTAGCCTCGTTCCTTTGCTTGTACAATATAATCATCAATCTCCTGGGGAGAAAAAGCCACAGACGTTAATTTCATTTAATAGCAGTTTTAAGAAGCCCCCAACTAGGACTTTGTACCCATAACATAATAGTTCCATTAACTATACAGCATCAAGTATGTGTTGATGGGCATTCCTAAAAAAATGATTTGTGGAATTTATTTATTTATTTGAGACAGAGTCTCACTCTGTCACCCTGGGTAGAGTGCCATGGCATCATCGTAGCTCTCAGAAATTTCAAATTCGGGCTTAAGCCACTTCTTGCCTCAGTCTCTTGAGTAGCTGGGACTATAGATGCCCTCCACAATACTCAGCTAGTTTTTCTATTTTTAGTAGAAACAGGGTCTTGGTCTTTCTCAGTTGGGTCTCAAATTCCTGAGCTCAAGCAATCCACCCTCCTCAGCCTCCCAGAGTGCTAGAATTACAGGTGTGAGCCACCACACGCAGGCCCCCGTGGAAATAATTTACATATCTTACCCTTTCCTTTGAAGAAAGAAGTGGATGAAGGAATTTTCTATATATTAAACTGGCCCCTTTGGTATAGGGAGAGAGCAGCCATATGACAAAGGCAATCTTCAGCTCATAGTACAGGGGAAACCTAATGAGAAGAAATTTGAAAAAAAAAAAAGCTGCTAGTGAAAAATAGACTATAACCAATACGGAGTCACAAAAAAGCTTTATGAAAAGTTTAGTCACTGTGTTAGGTTTTCACATGTAAAGGTTAGTGATTAGGGAAATGAAGTGTTTGAATCAATGAAATCATCTTAACTATAGATCAGTTGGGAAAGTGACCTAAGGGGTTCACACCTTCTAATCCAAAATTCTTCCTCTGAAGCAAGCACAGGAAAACTGCCAAACTGACCATAGAGGTCAAGAGTGGGCACTGACATCATTTAGCCAAGGCAGTAAGGTATACCCACCCTGTCTACGGAGCCACGGAAATTTGTGCCATACCTCAAATCATCAGGGCACCTCATATGCTCCAAGCACACAATGTTTACCCCCCACCCCACATGTCCTTATCTTTCTCAGGACTCCCAGAAAACTTCCTCTCCAGTCTCACTTGGTCAGAATTACAGCACCTTGCAGATGTAAATTGTTTACTTGCAAGGGGAACAAAATTAACATTCTGGAAGACTGCGAGTCAGGGTTATACACCCAAGCCCTTTTCCATGTGACTTTGTAGCAACCTTCCCTAGGAGGACACTTCCCCAATCAATGTCTGTGGCTTTAACCATGTACTGTGCTTTGGCTAACTAAATGTGAACGTGACACATGTTTGTTCCGTAAGGCAGAAGCTTTAAATGCCCTTTAATGCTCTCACTCCTAATACTTTCAACCTCTCACTATAAGCTTTTGCCTTCTGCTAGGAGCCTAGCTGCTTCTTCAGCTTGCATCCTGAAATGAGAAGATACTTAACACTGAGGCCAGCAAAACAACAAACTTCTATTTCTTGCTCAAACTGCATGAGGGCAAATGCAGGTGACCATTTGCCCTCATGAAACTTGAGCAAGAAACATAAGTTTGTTTTTCTAACCTGCTGTGCTTTTATTAGGGTTGGTTGTAGCTACAGCACAAGTTAACTGATATATAATGAGGGTCCTGGTATGTTGTGGTCCATGAGGCAGAAAGACAAATAACTGAGCAAATCTGGGTTTTTCTATCAAGGCAGACAGGTAGCGGGCAGTGAGGAATGACTGTTGCATAGTCAACAAAAGGTGTCTCCCACACTGCAATTACAGAAAATTTTCCGGACTTTAATGTTCATGTTAAATTTTTCCTACATTGTTCACTTTCTATTATAATAATGTACATAGGCTAAATTTGGAGTCAGAAAATATGAGGTCTTAAAAAAAAATCTTTGAAACTTAGACCTAGCATGTTTGGAATTCATGTTCTGCCACTTATAAACAAGTATAAACAAACAAAAAAGCCTCTCCCAAACTCCTATACCAAAAGTGTAACAGGTAAATGAATGAGCTTTGGGGTAAAATAAGAAAAATGCTATAGTATTTCAAATTGGAAAAGAAAGAGGGAGGCAGATACAGAAAAGTGCATAATGAAAGACAGGGTCAGGTGGGTCTGTGGGTCAAAGGAGTAAGGTGCCAGCCAGCCTCAAATACCAGAGGTGGCGGGTTCAAACCTGACCCGGGCCAAAAACTACAAAAGAAAAAAAAAGAAAGAAAGGCAGGGTTAAGAATAGTCTACTTTTTTTTTTTTTTTAAAGCAAATCCAGGGCAATGTAATAGGAAAATAGGAAAGACAGGCTCGGCACCTGTGGCTCAAGTGGCTAAGGCGCCAGCCACGTACACCCAAGGTGGCAGATTCGAATCCAGCACGGGCCGCCAAACAATGACAGCCGCAACCAAAAAATAGCCAGGTGTTGTGGCGGGCGCCTTTAGTCCCAGCTACTTGGGAGGCTGAGGCAGGAGACTCGCTTGAGCCCAGGAGTTGGAGGTTGCTGTGAGCTGAGATGCCACAGCACTCTACCCTGGGGGACAGCTTGAGGCTCCTGTCTCAAAAAAAAAAACGAAAGACAGCTTAAGAAGAGAACGCATTGGGCGGTGCCCGTGGCTCAAAAGGGTAGAGCACTGGCCTCATATGTTAGAGGTGGTGGGTTTCAAACCTAGCCCCGCCAAAAAAAAAGAAAAAGAGAGAGAGAGACTGCATTAAGTAGCCCAGGTAAAGAGATAAAAGGTAAAGAAGAGTAACTGTTGGGCTAGTGCAGGCTGAAGGTTTGTGCAGTAAGGGGAGAGCGAAAACTGGCAAAGTTGGAAACTTAACTTTTTTTTTTTTTAATTGCCCTTGGTAGAGTGCCATGGTGTTATAGCTCCCTCCAACTGCTGGGCTTAGGTGATTCTCTCGCCTCAGCCTCCGGAGTAGCTGGGACTACAGGCGCCTGCCATAGTGCTTGGCTATTTTTTGTTGCAGTTTGGTGGGGGCTGGGTTCAAACACGCCACCCTTGGTATATGGGGCAGGTGCCCTACCCACTGAGCCAGAGACGCCACCCTTAACATTTTTTGAAAGGAGAACTGCTCCAAGTAATGGCTGGTTTTAGATGGAAATGCATTATTGAATTAACAGCACAAGGAGATTAAAGTTGTCGATTAAGTACTGCTTGCTGGTTGGTAAAATGTCAAATCCTTGAGGATATAAAAGATGCTTTAATTTTACCATGTCTCTTTGGAACAGAATAGCCAAGAGGTTGGTTTTGAATGGGAGTCCATATGGGTATTGTTGCTGACTAGTTTGAGTTTGTTGATGAGAGTTTTAAGGATGGGTAGGGGGTACAAAACCAGATGATGTGGGCCTCAAAAAAGGAGTTGTTTAGGAAGTGATAAAGGAAAACAGTCCGAAGCCATCAGTGTAGAAAAGGATTATGACAACCAAGTTTTCTTATTCCAAGATGTTGGGGGAAGGTTTATGTGGGAGGTGGGCAGGGATTGGCATATGGGAAGAAAAAGTAGTTGCCTTTGAGGGGGCCAAAAGGAAAGTAACGTTCTTATGGGGAAAACAGAATCATTAATTGGAGAACTTACCAAGCAACAGTTTGATCTGCTACTGTTTCAATCACAGTATAGAGAGCAAAAACAATCCAGTACATCATCCATCGAACCTGGAAATAATAAAAATACTAGCGAAACAGCAGACTAAATTTGCAACTGAATAATTACATATTTCTAGATATAGAGTATGTTGGGTCAAATGTAGAAGGTGATGGTTTAAGTTTTCAACAGGTTTTATATTTGAATTCCTTATATCACTCTATCAATAGCCATACAATACAAAGAATCAAAGAATATCAAATCTCCAGGAGCTCATACAACATAATTTAGGAATCTAAATCAGATAATTAGAAAAATAGGAAGTGTTTTTCTTAGAGTAAAATTCTTTAGGATTATATTTTTTCTGAAAATGTTCCCCCAAATTTACACTTTTTGGTCTACCTCAGTACATAGACATTTCTCTCTCAAGTGGGTTAAAGTTTCATTAACGATTAAGATCTCTCCTCTTCTGCTCAATAATGTAATAATAACAAATACACAATACCAGGCCAAGCATGGGCTAGTGACTGTACTAAGTATAACACATATATTAATTCATTCAATCTTTTCCATATCATTACATAGTAGGAAATATAATTTCCATCATAGGTAAGAAAATGGTACCACAAATTAAAAAAAATGACTTGGTCAATGTCGTTTTGCTGGGAATCAGATCCAAGGTGCCCGACTCTGGAACTGGTTGACAAATTATACCAAGTGGAGAGAGAATATGTGAAGAATTGCTGAATGTGGGGTCCATGAGTAACTATTTTCCTTGTTCTCATATCCATCTGTGACTAAAAATTTAGATTCTTATAAACAGCTAGAAAATTTACCTAGTTTTAATATGTATATATATATATGCTTATTTTGAAATTTCACAGATCATATAAAACTGTAACTCAAGTAGCTTTTACAGTTTTCGATTTACCTGGACAAATCAATTAAAAATAACCATGAATAGGCCAGGCGTGGTGGCTCATGCCTGTAATCCTGGCACTTTGGGATTGCCTAAACCCAGCCTGAGTAAGCACCAGACCCTGTCTCTAAAAATAGCCGGTTGTTTGTAGTCCTAACTAGAGAAGCTGAGGAAAAAGGACTGCTTGAGCCTAAGAGTTTGAGGTTGTTGTGAGCTATGACGCTATAGCTCTCAACCCCAGGGTGACTAAGTGAGACTCTGTCTCAATAAGAAAAAAAAAAAAAGCCATGAGTAACTTTTGAGGCAACTGTGTTATGAAACATAAATAATACCAATTTGCTCTAATTTATAGGGAATCCTGAAAGTTTAAAAACACTGCTCTGGGTGGTGCCTGTGGCTGAGTGGGTAGGGGACTGGCCCCATTTACTAAGGATGGTGGGTTCCAACCTGGCCCCAGCCAAACTGCAACAACAACAACAACAACAACAACAACAACAACAAAAGTAGCTGGGTGTTGTGGCGGGCGCCTGCAGTCCCAGCTACTAGGGATGCTGAGGCAAGAGAATTGTCTAAACCCAGGAGTTGGAGGTTGCTGTGAGCTGTGACACCATAGTACTCTACTGAGGGCAATAAAGTAAAACTGTCTCTCTAAAAAAAAAAAAAAAAGAAAAACTTGCCCAAAGCAAATAATAGGGTATATTACCTAAATTTGAAAAGAGGAAATTGATTTGTAAGATTATCTCGAGGAAGATGGCGGCGGCCGTGGTGCTGACGGCGGCTTGTGCGTGGCGCCCAGAGCTATGGCAGTCGTGGGGCTGCGAGGGGCGCAGGTCCCAAGAGCTCCAGGTGTGACTAATGGGAATGAAGTGGTCAAGGCCCAGCAGGCAGCTCCTGGTGGAGCAGCCGCAACCACCTTCTCCCGGATCCCGGACCGAAGCCTCCCAGCTGACATTCTATATGAGGACCAGCAGTGTCTCGTGTTCCATGATAGCCCCTCAGGCTCCTGTGCACTCCTGGTCATTCCTAAGAAGCCTATTCCTCGGATTAGCCAGGCTGAAGAGGACCAGCAGCTTCTAGGACACCTACTCCTTGTGGCCAAGACAATATCAAAGGCTGAAGGGTTAGGAGATGGATACCGACTTGTGATCAATGATGGGAAGCTGGGCGCACAATCTGTGTATCACCTGCATCTTCATGTATTTGGAGGCTGACAGCTCCAGTGGCCTCCAGGTTGAATCTATAAACTGACCTAGGATCCCAGACCTGGATGCTTGGATGGGGAAGGGAAAGGAGGAATCTGTAATACTAATAAACCTGCTCTCCCTCAAAAAAAAAAAAAAAAAAAAAAGATTATCTCAAAATTCAGTTTTCCACTTTTCTTTCTTTTTTCTTTTTAGACAGATTCTTCACGTTGCCCTCAGTAGAGTGCAAGTCACAGCTCACAGCAACCTCAAACTCTTGGGCTTAAAGGATTCTCTTGCCTCAGCCTCCCAAGTACCTGGGACTACAGGCACCTGCCACAATGCCCAGCTATTTTTTTGTTGCAGTTGTCATTGTTATTTAGCTGGCCCGGGCCGGGTTCGAATCCGCTAGCCTGGGTGCATGTAGCTGGCACTGTAACCACTGTACTAGTTTTCCACTTTTCAAGAAGTCTTTTAAATCTCTCACTGTTCCCGATTCTAAGGTTTGTCCAAGTATGGGGATTTTCTTCCAGGACTAAAATCCTAGGTGTGTCTGTCTGTGTGTCGTCCTTTCTTTCCTCCCCTCACTTTTCTAATAGAAGTGAAGCTCTTGTGTGAGTTCATTCATCCTTTCCAAGTCCAGACACTAATCGCTAACTTAGTACTTATACCTCTCCATTATAGTTATAAGTTTATCCTTTACCCGATTGACTCTACAGGCCTTCCCCCAAAAGAGAAATGAGGAAAAATGTGACTGCAAGCTGAATAATGTGCTTTTTTTGAGTAGAAGGGACTATGGAAGAGATTTAACTTTTTAAAACTAAATGATCATTTATTGAAAAAACTGTAAAAACATTACAAGAGAAACCGATCTGGTTAGGTCTCCTATTTAGCCTACCCTAGGACTCTTGGGGAGACTCCAAGAAACCCTAGTGCTCCATGGGACAGAATTTGAAAACAAATAATATGGCAAACTCTTTTCATTTCATGAAAGGCCAAAATCAATAAGTAATTCAAGGTTGCTGAGCGAGGCGATGGCTGAAGGCGGCAAGTCCACCTTGAAGCCTCAACTATGCAGCTTTTTAAATAAGTGGCTAACACCAGATCTAGTCTCTCCAGCTCCCAGGACTTCCTGGTTCTTTTCCTCTCCAGGACTCAGTACACAGATTTAAATATAAACATTATCACCTTCTTTCCCAACAAAAGTGAAGGCTGAAATTAAATTTGACCCTCCTCACAGAAAATCTTTAGCCAACTCTCAGAAAAATTAAAGTATTTAAGCCAGTGCTTGTTATGTTTCATTATTTCATATTTTCATCACTTCACAACCATTAGGATGGTTGTGATCTTCCAAAGGGATAACAACTATAAGTAATACTCTACAAATAAAGAGGATTTTTTGTTAAAAAATGACAATGATCCTCTACTAGATACGTATCCAGAAGACCAAAAATCACATTATAACAAAGATATTTATACCAGAATGTTTACTGCAGTCCAATTCATAATTGCTAAGTCATGGAAGAAGCCCAAGTGCCCACTGACCCATGAATGGATTAATAAATTGTGGTATATGTACACCATGGAATATTATGTAGCCTTAAAGAAAAATGGAGACTTTACCTCTTTCGTGTTTACACGGATGGAGCTGGAACATATTCTTCTTAGCAAACTATCTCAAGAATGAAAGAAAAAGTATCCAGTGTACTCAGCCCTACTATGAAACCAATTTACAGCTTTCATGTGAAAGCTATAACCCAACCATAGCCCAAGAATATGGGGAAAGGGGATGGGAAGAGGATGGATGGAGGAAGGGTAATTGGTGGGGCCACACCTATGGTGCATCTTACAAGGATACATGTGAAATTTACTAAATGTAGAATATAAATATCTTAACACAATAAGAAAATGTCATGGAGGCTATGTTAATCAGTTTGATGAAAATATTTCAAATTGTATATAAAACCAGCACATTGTACTCCATGATTGCATTAATGTACACAGCTATCATTTAATTGAAAAAAAATGACAACGAACAAACTATCCAATCAATAGGGTATTTCTGGGCACTTTCCTGGGGGTACTGACAATACTTTTATATAAACAAAACCCCAGGCTTTTGTCTTTAATGAAAAAATTCTTTGACAATTTGCTGTCTTAAACTTACGGATTGGCTTGGTGCCTGTGGCTCAAGCGGCTAAGGCACCAGCCACATATACCTGAGCTGGCAGGTTCAAATCCAGCCTGGGCCCACCTAACAACAATGATGACTGCAACCAAAAAATTGCTGGGCATTGTGGCGAGTGCCTGTAGTCCCAGCTACTTGGGAGGTGGAGGCAGGAAACTCCATTGAGCCCAGGAGTTGGAGATTGCTGTGAGCTGTGATGCCATGGCACTCTACCCAGGGTGACAGCTTGAGGCTCTGTCTCAAAAAAAAAAAAAAAAAAAAAAAACCTATGGATTTTTTGTTCTCCTTATCAGAAACAATGGACCTTAAATATAATTGAATTCAGGCAATAATTAAAAGAATCCAATGAGCCTATGTTATTCACAGGAGCAATCACAAAGAAAGTTACCTTTGAAAATATATTCTTTTTTCCATTAATGGATTTGTTTGAAATTTTATACTAAATGATTACTCAATAAAGCTTTTATTACAACTATACCTCAAGGCTACTAGCCTAAGGTTTTGCCCAAAGGAAATAACACAAAGACGTCAAGGTAAAAAAAAAAATTAAAGGCTCAGCGCCTGTGGCTCAAGTGGCTAAGGCGCCAGCCACATACACCTAAGGTGGCGGGTTT